TGGGCGGGGACTGCGGGCGGCGGCATCATGGCGCACGTCTTCCGTGCCCTCTGGGCCCAACCTTTCCGAGAGGTGCCTCCGCGGATTTTGCGGGGCGGATGGGTCTGCGGTGACCTTGGAGCGAGGGCCGAACACGGGGACGCAGGTAGGACGCGGGCCTCTCAGGCCCCGCCGCCGCCACCCGGTTTTCGGCCTTTCAGTTTAACTTCACTTGGCCCGAGTGTTGGTTGTGCACCCGGCTACGACAGTGGGTTGTAAACTTGGAGGGGCGGAAGCGGAGAGTCATTGATCCCTGGGATAATTGGAGGAAAGGTCTGCTCCTTAAACGTTCACACATTTTTTTTCGTTTTGCATAAATTAATCGGGCTCCGGAGCCCCTGACGCTTATCCTGGGACTACAGGTGAAGAACCGCGGTGGTGGAGTCAACAGCGCGACCCCGCGCGGTCTCCTGTGGCGGCCCTTCGGCTTTTACACTGTCCCCGCTTCGAACTCTGCTTTTAGTACTTGGAAACAGGCAGTTCAGACTTTGAGTTCTTGTGGATTGGCTTCCTGCCCTGCTCTATTTTTATGTATGTTTCCTGGACCCAGGGAGACGTAGGGACTTATGATCCTTGACCTCACTTTCCTTTCATGCTACCTTTAGAATTCCTCAAAGACTGATCTCTGAGCGCAGTATCCCTTTTCCTCCTCTCATTGTCAGTGACAGTGAGGCAGACCAGGGGGGAGAGTGTGCATTTTCTGCAGAATGCTTCTGGCTTCTCTAGCGGATTGGGGCATATTTATATTTCACTCTTTACTACAGAGTCACCTGTATTTCAGGTATGTTTCAGGTTACTGGGCAAGTGCGCAGCTGTCCCATCTCTGAATCTAGTTCAGTTCTGTGCCCATGGGAGACAATTAGAGAGACTTGACTGCTGAAAATGTTCCCAGTTACTTGGAACTCTTTTTTTTATTCCCTGAGGTTTTCAGAACGTAGTGTTAAATAAATAAAGCACTAGCATTGTGGAGTGATAGCTGATCCAACATGACTTCCATTCATGGCCTTCAGAACCCCAGTGTCTCTGGTCAGCCAGTCTAATCATATTTGTTATGCATCCACCGTGTTTGCTGAGAACCGCAGGTGATGGAAACATTTGTGGGCTGGAGCTCTCCTTTCCCCTTTGTAGACTAGTGGTTTCAGCGGAAATTTGTCCTTAACTTTGTACTCAGTGCTGTCGGAAACAACCTGATGAATGGCCGTGGATGTGAAGTTCTTTAGCAACATTAAATTTTGGCCAGACACCAATACATGACAGGAACTGTGTAACTTATCAGACACCTCCTCCTGGACATTTATCCTAAGGAAATAATTCAAAAGAACAAAGCTGTGTGTGTGCAAAGAGCACTAACTACTCTTAAGAACCAGAAACTGGCTATAACCCAAATGTCCATCAGTTAAGGAATGCTTATGTAAACCATGAAAGTTCAAAGAAACTATTTCGCATTCATTAAAAACGATAAACAAGTAATAGTTCTGTGGTTAAGGGCTTCGGTGTGGACAGTCACTTATCGATTCTGTGTCTTTGACACGTCTTGAATTCGGAAAGCCTAAACCTGTTTTTTCTTCTATAAAATATGGATAATGGTAATAGAGTTTTTGTATAGAATAAATGGAAACAGAAAAGTTTAAAAAGCTTTATCACAATGATTGACACTTAGTAAGCACACAATAAATGTTCATTATAATTATATAAATGGAAAGAAAGAAAATGTAGCCACATTTAACCCACGGCATGGACTTGGGGAAGGTTGAGAGAGAGAGAGCAATGATATATTAGATGTTAAAAGTAACAGAGGATTGTTCTCCAGAACTGAGATTTCTGATATGCAAGAGGCAAAGCCCCTGTGATTTTGTCATCCAGATTGACAAAAGAGAAAATTGAAAGAAGAAAGTAAGAACTGTCCTGGAGAAAAACATCTTTTTTTTTTTTTTTTTAGGAAAACATTCTTTCAAGAGATACTCTGCTAGGAGACCATCCTGACATAAAGTTAAAACAGTGCAGTCACTCTTGTGAGAGAGATTAGTTCTGCAGGTTAGAGCGGGCTGGGAATTCTTTTTATGCTAGTTCCTGATAGGTTCCCTTCGTATTCAACAAGTATTTATTCGAACAAGTTTGGCTCATGTGTGACAACTGGCAGTATAGCAACTGTGGCCCCAGAATGCTTAGCAAAACCATTCTGGATGTAACCAGTGGGTGACCAAATGAGTGTGTGTTTTACTTAAAGATGAGCAAATCAAGGCCAACCTCATGGAACATATAGCTCCCAACAAGAAAGATAGTCTGTGCAAATCACAGCACAAAGAGAGAAAGGAACCCCAAGGAATCCAAGTTCATCAAAGCATAGTTCAAGGTAGAGCTGTGTTGCCACTGAATGCAATAGCAGCAACAGCCAAACTTTAGTGGGTAGTGCAGATAACAAGAGAATGCAGAAGGAATCTGAAAGACACACAGTCCCCCAGAGGATCCTCACGAGGTGTAAGTGATGTGGATTGAAGACAGAAAACACTAGAGAGTGTGTGTGCGCGCGCACACACACACACACACACACACACACACACACACACAACGACAGGGAAACTAACGCTGAATCCTGTTCTCTGGCTGCTGGCGGCCAAAAGGCATTACACATTCCCAAGTGAGACCTTGTTGTGTGTTGTATGTATGTGTGCCCAAATTGCTGTTTGGTAAAGCTGCACAGAATTTACTCATAATGCAATTTTCATTCAAACTAGTCATTGCCTAAAGCACAGTGTATTGGTCTGCTGGGGCTGCCATAACTAAATGCCACAGATTGGGTGACTGAAACAACAGAAGTGTATTTCCTCGCAGTTCTGGTGTCTGCAGGTCCAAGATCAAAGCGTCAGCAGCGTTGGTTTCTCCTGAGGCCTCTCTTCTTCCCTTGCAGATGGCCTTTTCTTTTTACTTTCACATCCCTAGTGTCTCTTTCTCTTCACATAAGGGCACCAGTCACATTGGATTAGGGCCCATCCTAATGGCCTCTTTTTAACATAATCACCTCTTTAAAGATTAAGTGTTGAGATACTGAGGGTTGGGACTTCAAGGTATGAATTGAGGGGCAGGTGACGATTCAGCTCCTAACACCCAGTTTAAACCTCTTTTAAGTGTTGCAGACCACATATATCCTGACCTGAGAGCACCCAACTGACCATTTGTCATTTTGCTATCAAGGTATAGAGTCTGTCTCCCCTTGACACAGTCATCCAGGCTGGCAGATCTACAACTAAATGTTGCGTAATTGGTGTTTCAATTGCTGCATCATCAACTAGTCTGAACATTGTGGCCCACTGATGAAACTTTTCAGACACATTGATAATAGTATAAAAGGTACAGATAGATAAGGATTGGAAGAGCCACGAAAACGTACTTATCGTATTTAGATGAAGGAGTAATTCTTTTGTTTAACCATAAAAATATTACAAATTTAAAAAAAAGTTAGAGCAGAGGACGAAAATGAGTGTCTGAAAACAGGTAGTCCCTCTCTAACAGGTGTAGTAAATACAGAGCTGGTGGGGGGAGCTGGGGGCCCGTACAGGATTCATGCCTTAGGCTCAAAGCTGAAGCATGGGAGTCCCGCTGAACTGTAGCCCTTCTTGAGTTCCCACTTTCTAGCGTCAACTATTATATTGTAGTACATGTTGAAAGACACTAAGAGTAGTGTTTCCAGGAGATAATGGTTTTTTTTTTTCTCTCTCATCCTATTCCAGTTCCTGCCCAAAAGGCCATAGGAAGATAGTGGCAGCTTTACAGACTATAAATTCCAACCTTGGTAACCAAAAGTCAGTCGTCCTCTTAGAAATCCATGAAAATAATGCAAGATCTTTTAATACATGTGGAGCAACATGGCAGGACAGATATTCCTTAACAGGTGTCAGTTTTAGCCAGGGTTCAGACTTCACAAATTTCCCTCAAGACCAGAGTTTAGATTCTGGAAGGAGGAATCAAGAATAGTTAATTCTAACTAGCAAAGCCTGTTCTTACTTTTACCTTTATATTTTTCAGCATTCGGAGTGGCCTTCTATGACAGGACCCGGTCTGATCACTCTCACGCAATGGCACTGGCCTTCTTTTGGCATCTTGCCCTAGGTTGAAGGCTTACAAAATATAGTTATACATATACATCTACCTGTCTTTTAAGCTGCCTAAAATGGAATGCCTTCTGTTTCCCTTTTGCTTAAACAAATAGCCCACACTCATTAAAACTAGTTGTAATTCTACTTGTTCTTAAAACAACAAAAAAAGTAACCCAGCCTAAAATGATTTAAAGACGTTCCCACCATACTGTTGGCAGTTAAGCTTGCATTGCTTTGTAAAACTCCTTTATTGTCATCTTGAATAGTTATCTAAAGCTTATGTAGTTAATAAAGTTTTCTCAGTTTGGTTGGTCTCCCATATTTGGTCTGTTCAAGGTAAAGAGTAGTTCCACAATCCTCCCCGTTCTCTCTTATGTCATCAGTTCACCCTCTTCACTGGATCATTCCCATCAGCACCCTGGAATACTATGATTTTTTTCATTTTTTGTTAAAACA